ACACTTACATAAGGGCAAATTCAGGACATCAACTCCAACATCAACACGTACATAAGGGCAAATTCAGGACATCAACTCCAACATCAACGACAACATGTACGGACATACCCAACACACATAGAGGCCACTGGCTGAAATAATATATATATATATATTAAACTATATAATATGTACCCCAGTGCCAATGTGTGTAGAGTGTAGAGAAAACTACTCGTAGCAGCCATGTTCCAAGTTTGTTGGAGGAAGGGTGCTCCATGGTGAAGCACTATTTAGATCAAAATCGAGGCTTGTTTGCCTCACATCCCCCAAAAGAGCTATCCCACTTGAGGCTTGAGATATTTGTGTTGAACAGTCAGAAGCAATCTTGTTGCAGACCTGGTGGCAGCATGCGTTTTACACTGCCACCAGGTGCCCACTTGCATTGGTGCAAGTCAACAGTTCTACATCGGTGACGAGGTACCTGACAGATCACAGAGTCGCCCATCCTTGCCTGTTTCAACCATAGGGCCATAGGGCGGGGTAGATTAAGGACTAGAAAGGGCTTGTACAAAATGACACATTCGCAGATTAAATAAATAGAGGAGGGGAAAGAATCACCCACCAAACGCGAAAGAAACCACAAAACCGACTGCCGGAGGGACGATTTCCTGACAGCAGGGACGAACTGACAGAAGTGGCATTGGAAAGAACTGAAATGGATGACAGAAATTCGATTGGCAAGGAAGCGAATGGTTTCGAGGATCAGGTCACACACAGAGTGTATTTGTATTGTCATGAATTATATATAGGTGTCCGGTTCGCTGCGAGCCAGATCAGGACCTTCTCCCATGACCGGAAATGGTGGAGTTTGCGACATTAGAGGAGTCTCTTGTTGAAAGGAACTTCCGATAGTACCGGCATCTGTATTGGAAATAGTGGGTCAAGAGTTGGGTCATCTGGCAGATTGACTGGTTGGTCGTTGTGAAATGGTGGTTGTATATCTGGGACAAAGATGCAGTTCAAACATGACTTAGGGCGCCGGCGCCGTTGTGCTCACAAGACCACGTGTCTCTGTGGTGTCTCCGACAGAGATCGATCCATGGATCCTTGGGGGGAGGGCCAGGAAAAATTGCACAGTTCGGCTCAGGTCAAAAGGCAGACATGTGGACCATCCAAGTCACCGAAGTGTGATAGGCACCTAGATTTCATGATGTCAAAGTCGGATAGGTGGAAGGCACCGCACAGCAGTTTTACATCGGAGACGAGGCATGGTGGGTTTTCAGATTTCTCAGCTTGCACAAAGCGACGGAGGTGGATCAGGTGGCCAACCTACTACATAAGCACAAGAAGGTCTCCCAGTTAGCCCGCAGGGCATACGAAAGCCTTGAATATGAAGCTACTAGGAACAAAGGGCATCGCTACTAGGAGCAAGGACGCTACTAGTAGCTCGTGGCCATACTACTAGTAACAAGGACGCTATTAGGTGGAGGCCACTTGATATTGACCCCGGCACCCAGTTCGCCACAGGATGTGCCCGAGATGAGCTTGCCGTGACAGGGCAGCTGAAAAGAGCATTTGCGTGACGGGAGCTTTGGAACACGAATATCTTTTGGATGTTTTTAGTTGTTCTTTAGTAGGAATGTGGGCCCGATGGTCAGAGAGATTCTGTACTAGATCCTTTCTGCGGCGCTTCCTCTTTCAGCTGCTTTGGTTGAAGACGGGACTCGAACTTGAACCCAACAGCAAGGCATCACGCCTAATATGAAAGACGCTTGAACCACAGTCTCGGACTTTGGGTTGAACTTTGATGGAATCATAAAAGCTCACTCGGTGCAGAGGCAGAAATCGCTATGATGGTCAACTAAACATATCTTGCCACCACACCGACGAAGGGTGCCAAAGCCAAAAGGTGAGGACCAAATCTTTGCATAGCTTGATTTGCATCATGGCACGTTCCCGTAGTGTGCTTCTGGTGGCGCTGGTCCTAGCGGTGGCACCGTGTTGCTTCGTTGGACTCCGGGCTCAGTGTTCGCGTGCTCCTTCGCTCCGCACGCGCAGCGTTCGTGTGCTCCAACGAGCGGAGCGGGTGGAGCGGGAGGATGGCACCGCGCTGGGTGCCGCGGGCATCGGCGCATCGCTGGTGATGGCTTGGAGCGAATGGACCTTGAAGACCACAGGCGGCAGCAGATGTAAAGTCATCGGAGTGGGTGGTTTAGGTCTTTTGCGATCTTTCTTTGGACCTGGGTTTTGTATGCACATGTATTACACCATATTACACCTCTATACTATATTATATATCTATATATATGTGTGTGTGTTCATCGTGTCTTCCTTGTTACTCGAGTGTTTCTTCATGTGAAAACGTTTGATATGGCAGTTTGCCAGAGTCAGTCTCCTTTTTGGTTCTGCAAGGTTGTGGCCTGCCTGCAGGGCCCTTTGGGTTGCTCGGTGCCACTGAGGGTCTAAGCTACCTGGCGGTGGTGGGGCTTGTGGTGTATCAGCTGTTCCGCCTTGCCACCAATGACACGAAGAAACAGAGCAGCCTTGTGGAGGTCCGAAAGATCCAAAGTCACACCCGTTGAGCGAGTCACGATCGATGGATTGGAATCGTCCGGCAAAGCCATGCCTTTTGGAAGCGACCGGGAAGCGACCATCAAGTGGGACTCCGAATGCATGTAGACCTTTCGGAATCATTCTCGTTGCCCAATCAGAGGGAGTTCAAGCTCATACTCATAGGGCATTGAGTCATGTATATCATGTATCTTCAAAAGCGCAAACAAAAGGTTGAAAGAAAGTACTTCTCAGTCATCTCAATATGATGTCTACCTTGGTGTGCAGGTGGCATCTTTCCTGGCCTTGCTGGTGGCCTTGGCTGGCTTGGTGGTTTTGTATTTTCAGATTCAGGAGAAAACAGCTGATAAACATCAAGCTGCCGTGCGCAGACTGTTTTTTGTATACAAGTTGCCTTGCCTTGTTCATTCTTGCTCAATCAATTGCTTGCCTTGTCCAATCACAGGATTATGGCTTTGTCCCGGAGGCAGTACCCACTGAGGGTGGTCGGTGTAGCAACATTGGATAAAGATGTCCTAGACAGCGACTTTTGCCGCTTGGCAAGTGCATTGGTTCAAAAAGTGATTTGTGAAGGTCCGACTCCAGGTCCGACTGATCATCGTCGTGGTTGTCTAAGACTGGGGTCCTAGTTGTCATGCCTTCCTGCAGCGCTTTGGTGAAAGGTCCCAAAAGCGGTCCCAGGCACCAATTGTTGTATGTCGGAACGTTTGTTGGCCAAACTATTTGCTTGGAGTCGCTTGGAGGTTGACCATTTCATGCCTGCAACACAATATTCTTTCCCAAAGCCAAAGACAGGGTGGCTCCCAAGCTATCGACATAGATCACCACCACATGGGCTGTGGGGGGTTGTGAGACACCTTCCATGCTCCTGGTCCCTGGCAGTCACACATGATGGAGCCAGCTAGCTAGGGCGCTACGCTGGGAGGAGACCAAAACAGCTATGGAGGAGATCCATTGTTTCACCCAGGCCGCCTGGCCAGGGCAACCTGCATGAGCCTCTTGTGCTGAGTGCCGTCCAATAGCTTGGCTTGGATCAAGGGGAGATGCCAAGGGACCAAGTCAAACAGCGACCGTAGTCAAACAGCTTGGCTTTCATCCGAGCGGCCTCAACGATCTGAACACGCGACCAAAGCGTGGAAGATTCGGAAGTGAAATGCCTTCCGCCTCGCTTCCATTCCCACTTTCAGCCCCCTACAGTCACTAGCCCTTGACAGCAGCGCCATGATCTTTCTCCTGTGCCTCGTGGAGGTATCCTTGAAGCCATGAAGTTGCGGCTAATGTGGACTTGGGTTTGTCTATGTTTATCTCAATTCAGGCACCTCCAATTCCTTCTAGCAAGCAAGGCTGTATTGAGTCAACTCGTCATAGAGGTTTTTTGATCCTGCATTGCTCAGCACTCTCAGCACATAGAGGAGGGGAGTTGCCTTAGGTCTTGCTCCTAGCTGTGGCAAAGGATGACAAAGGAGGCCCTTTCGACCAGTTTGACATGGACTGATTTGTTTGTTGGCTCTTGCTGCAAAATCATGTGGCCAAAAATCATGAGGTTCGGCAGCGGGAATTGTGTGGTCCACAAAGCATCATGAACTGAACTGATCATGAGGTGTGCATTATGTCTCCATTTATTGCTATCACACGAACAAATGCCTTTCTGCACTTGTGCAGGTTGGGAAGAAAGCGTCAATGACGAGGGCAAGAGGGTCCAGGTGACGGTGCATTCTTCCAGCCCAGACATATTTCAAGGATGTTGGGTTGAGTGACCAAGTATGCGACAAATGCATGCAATCGATTCTGGAGGCAAATTTAGTACCTGCAATCCATTATTTTTTTCCGGGAAACCTATTTCAAGCCAAGCCATACCCCACACAATATATTTAGCTGTTGTCCTTTGACGGATTGTATATTTTTTTGTGATATGCCATTGCCAGACCTTGAAGATTGAAGCCCCATCAATGACCGAAGAGGAGCTCGGCCGTGGGTGATGTGCGCGTGCGCGTGTGAGAATGGAAGGAATCAACAAGTCCTACCAGGACTTTCTGAGTTTCCTCCGAGAAAAAACGAGGAAAATGTGAAAGAAAGGAACGTGACGGAGCGTGACGGCACGGCATCCAGGACCAGTATGGCTACAACATGCCCGATCGCTACAAATGCGATTCTTGCCGAGCCGTGGTGCATCATTTGCACGAGGACGACTAGCGTTCTTGTTACTACTTAGTAAGGCACTTGTTACTAGAAGCGATGCACTTGTTACTACTAGCGTCCTTGTTACTACCACGCCCTTGCATCATACAAAAAATTGTGAGTCACTTGGACTCCGTTTTTTCGAGATCGACTGTTCGTTGACTACAATGGGCGTGTATGTAATTCTGGATTTTGTGTTGGCAGGCGCTGAACAAGCAGCAGCCAAAAAGCCGCAGGCAACCGAGGGTCAGTCCCTACCACCAACCCCACAACTTCTGACACGTAGGTGGTCATTCTCGATTTGAAGTGGTTCGTGATCGGCTCGCTTGGTCTCACGCAGGTTGAAGTCTTGGGAGTACACGGATCTGTTCGAGGAGACCTGTCGCTCTGCCTTTGAGGTGGGAAATTTTGCGGTATGCAACCCATGTATTGATGCCACTGTAGACCCGCTTCAAGATGCCCAAGAACTGAACATGTTGTTCTAGCATGTTCTAGCATCAGGGACAGCGCCACTCTGGTTGGCTTCATCCCTTTGAGCCATGTCTTTAGACAGCAGGGCTATGGCATCAAGCTTGTCAATGGCGAGAACGTCCTGAGCGGGTTCGGTCACCTGGGACGGCGAGCATCGTAGAACCGTTTGGTCCAGTAGCATTCCTGTCCCCAGAGGAAAGCGTTCGGTGAGATCTGCTTGGTAAATTGACGCCATGGTCCATGGTTGGTGTTCTTCGTTCCGGCCCCTGTATTTTGCTGAACCTGAACTGCTGGATCTGCCAATCAGCTGTTGTTTTGCCAAGCACCAAAGCTCAAAAGGATCGTTCGGATGAACAATCTGATGCACAAACACTCCTCACACAATCAAGCATTAGTTGTGTCCAAGATTAGTTGACTTCAACTAAAACAAGCAAACACCGGCTGATGGGATGTTCTTCCTTTGAAACGCAATTCGATGTGAAGCCGACCATGAAGCTCAACGGCCCTATCTAGGATCATTGTCATGGGCGTTTCTGGCCCCTGCAGTTTCACACTCCAGCTCAGACGTTGGAACGGTGCTTTCGCAACGTCCGCACCCTCCCAGGCCCGGCCTGAAAGACAACGTGGAGCTGCAGCGTGGGGACCCAGCCGGACGCAGCGTGGGGACCCAGAACGCCGGCCGAAGGGACGCGTCAGTCGCAGCGTGGGCTCCGACAATTCTGAGGCCTGGAATGGGAGCCATCCAGATGGGCGGCGAAAACTGGAGCCTTGGATGTGACTCGGGATGTGGCGGTGAATCGGGGACATACTGTGAACTTGCTGACTGGCTTCAAAAGGAATCAAAATGAGGTATTCAGATCAGCTTAAATCAGCTTAAAATGTCACAAAGTAGTGCAATTTGTTGTTCCCCCTACATGATGGCGCTAGATACTTTCCCTTAATTCCCTTACATTTATATAATGGCATTGCTCCAGTAGCTGTATTTTCAGAGCTCGCAATGAGCGCCCCAGCTTAGGAAAAAGCGCCTTGCCGAAGAGTGTCGAAAGCTGGTCTTTGAGCAGGCCCTCGGCCCACCGACGTTGTGACATGAAACGCCCCGTCGGCAAATGGTTGATCAGGTTGGTGAAGAAGATTTCTACGATTTCCTGTACGGAAAGTGGAAGGCTCGAGTAGCTTCTCTTCACGGCATAGGGATTGGCTCAATGAGGGTGATGCGGTCGCTCAGTCATGAAAACATCTCCTTTTCGCTTGCGTGTTCCCCTGAAAGTACGATCGTGACTGTTTGCAACATCCTCATCCTGCACCTTTCCTTGGGAAAGCTCGCTTCGTGAGTTGCTGCCAGGATGGAGAGCAGATCGACATTAGAGATGCTTAGCATTGCTTAGCTATCAGAGATGTCCAATACCTTTGCAGAGCGGGTGCTGTCAAGTGCCATAAGATCAACATGACAGTGCATGGGTATATCAGACGTTATGCAGAGCAAGGGCGTGCCGTGCCAATCAACTCAACCAAGGACTATTGCACCAAGGAGGCGCACTACTGCAAGGCAGCGAAACTGGGTCCAGAGCCACCAAAGGAGAGCAAGGAGCATCCAACGCTTCTGATTCTCAATGGTGAATCTAGATTCGGTGCCTTCCGAAAAGTGGCAGAGTTTGCAATGTTGTGGAGATGAAACTGGCGTGCGTGGACTTGCTCAATGTCTGAGTTGCTTTGTGGCTGGCAAACATGATCTCGGTCTTGACACGTACCCCATCATTATAGCATCCCATTCTTGAAATATCCTCCCAGGAGGAGAAAAAGCCGAAGAAGGCTGATTGAATCGCAAGCAGTTTTTTTTGCTGGATTTCACTCTCTTTCTCAACAGAGATTTTGATGTTTTGCAGAGATGTACTGTAAAGTGCGCACTAATTAGCTTGGCAACAATGACATGATGCTTTTTTGATGAAGGCAGGTTCGTTGGTGTTAGAACCAATTTTGATTCATGTCCGACAAAAGTAGAGTCAGGCAAGTCCTGTTGAGTCCAACAGGAGAGAGGAAAAGCCGAGAGGCGCAGTGTTTGTTCTGCAGTTGCCAGGTCCGGATATCAGGGGTGGAAACCTCTGGTTCTGGTTGGTCTCGAGTGCAACCAAGTTGGCTTGGTCATCCCCACTACAGCCGGGTTCGCTGGAGCCCTCATTCCCAAGTGAATCCAAACAGAGCTTTGACATTTGCTGGGCAAAAGCACTCAGCATGCCATAGGCAAGTCGACTCCCGTCACCACCTTGCATGGGGAACGCACTGCCTTGTGCACTGCCAGCATTCCTATCCAGGATAAAGATTCATGGTATCTCAAGAGATTGTCAAAAAGTGAAATGGTCAGTGCAGAAGCATGACTTCAAGCAAATCATCTCGTCATTGTCATTCCACGAGTATGCAGAATACAGATTTACCATCAATGTTTTACCAGTACAAAGCAATATCATTATGTGGACAGGCTTCTGAATCTGATATGCCAATGCTCAAACTGCTGTTGTAACATCGAAAAAATGCAAACTATAGATTCGTAGGTTGTAAGCTGAAAGAACTGACACTTGGATGGCTGTTCTCATGCCATGACACCATGGACTCCGATCCAGCTTTTGTGAAGCTTGGGGCCTCTGTTTGTCGTGTCGAATCCAGTGTGGAACAAATTGCTCAGGTAGTAAGGCACTTGTTACTACTAGCGAGGCACTTGTTTCAAATAGCTTTTTGATACTACTAGTAAGGCACTTGTTACTAGGAATATGACACTTTCCCGGATCAAATTCTGCTTGAGTGATAATTCACGGCAGTCCTGTCGACGGAGTCATCAAAGTCACGAGATCGGGGGGCAGAGCTTTTGGCCAAAATATCTCATGGCAGATCTGCACCGTTGCATAGGAGCCTTGGAGCACTCGGCTGTTCATAGGGTGACAGCACACATCACAAGGGGATGTGTAAGGCAGAGCCACCTACAAACACATCAAAGTACCAAATGCATCCAAATGCCAAATTGTCATGATGTCGATCTTCTCACCGTCCGACTCTCACTTCCGAAGCGGCTTCTTCACTGAGGGAGATCGACGCACGTGCAGCCCGCGGCGCAGGGGGTCCCAAACAACGGCAGATTGGGAAATGCTGAACGTGGCCAATCAACTTGAAAAGAGCCAGTTTCAAAAGGTAGGTTGCAATAGTGGAACGATTGAGTAGGTCAGCGGCCGGCAGGGACCATTCGCATTTTGAGAAAAGGGCTTACAGTACACAATGCAGCCAGTTGTGCACCGCATCCACCTGGCAAGGATGCGGCCTGTCAAAGTGCCTCAAGATGTTTGCAGGTGCTGGTTAGGAGATGAAGCTACAGCTACATAGAAATTGCTTGATAGAGTGAGAGTCAAAGTTAGATTAGGGTGAGGAAGGCTTTCACAGTGGCATCACTGGGTGTCCATGTGCAGTCAGTTGAAGGAGAAGTGGATGGCAACAAATTGTAACCAACCTGCACTAACCACAGTTGTTGCAGCTGCAGGCAATGCGTTCAGTCATTGTCAGTAGCAAGTGCTCAAACAGTGGACCGGCCTATTTTGCTGCAGTGGTAGGGAGCTCAGGCCTTCAAATGTTGATAGCGGCTAAGACGAACATGTCTCGTCATGGAGAGCTAGCCAGATTGCCCTGATTCTATACTTTCGCTAGGAAGACCCGGATTCCGTGCAGGGGTGAATTAAGCAAACGACAAAATTCTCAACAAGATGTTTCCAAGGTCTCAACCCTGCAGAAGCAGTTGACCCAGAAGGGCGCCTTGGAAAGTCAGGAGGTTCGGTGACCACATGTTACACAATGCAAGCTTCTCAGAGACATTCAACGGCTCAACTACAAGCACAATCATACAGTTTCCAAGCATTATCTTTTTCTGGGGTGACACAATTTCATGCCATGAACAACTTTTTGTTGATTGGGCAAAAGATGAACTCATGTCTGAATCCTCTTTGTGAGGCCAGAAATCCACGCTTTTTCAAGGGAAGGGCTTGTCATCTTCAGGAGACTTGCTCCGCCTTGCTGCTAATTCTGCGTCGTGCCCAGCCACACCTGCCGCCAAGCTTGGTGGCGGGACGCCAGAGGCCCCGGTCGGGCGGTGGTACCTGAGCTGGATGGGGCTGATGCAGCTCGAAGATCGCATCAAATGCATGATGTACTGAGAAAAGTATAGAAAAGTGACCCCTCCCACCTCTATGTGGAGCTGATGACCTCAGATTCTTCACATTGTGAGATCAACAGCGTTCGGCGTTCGGCGATCCACCCATCGGAACCACCGAGGTCTGAATGACATTGTGACGGCCTTGACGCCCGTGTGTGGGCTCCGAGGTCCGAAGACGAGCCTAGACGAGCCATCTTCTCATGGCTTTCCCCCTAACACGAGCACCACACGTTGGACGAACTGGAGGGGGTTCTTCTACACTTTGGGTTGGAACATGTTGGAACTATAGTAACTAGTAGGGATGGAAAAAGACATCCAGCAAGGATGACGAGGCTCTTGCCTCTTTCGAGCTTTGCACCTGGCTCTTTCTGTTTGGCTTGATGCCTGGCTTTGTTCAACGGCATCGGTTTGTGCATTTGAGGTTTCGGTCATCATGTAGCGAGACAATTGCGCGGCAGGCGGGCTAAGTTTGCCAGACCTTACGGAAGATTGCGCAATGCCATTGCAGCTTTAGCTGCACCTTGTTTTGACATGTTTGCGTTTGCGAAGAGGTGATGAGAAGGGCTTAGGCTTCTTGAAACAAGCCAGCCCACAATAATCCAGCAGAGCATGTGCCCATTGGCAACATCCATATCATCTCAACAGGCTTGTGGCTCTCTACCTGTTTGTTTGTGGGTTTGCATGACTGTAGTGGCTTGGAGCTCTATGTTGCCGCCTGAGCTTTGTTTCTGCATAAGCCCAGCAGGATTTACAGACAGAATTTCAGATGTTTGCAACAAGCAACATGTTGTCAGCACCGAATTGCCAGCCTGACTCGAAGGCACTGCAATGCTTGGGTTGCTGCGCAGAGGCTGCTCATGCGGCTGACGCGCGGCCCAACCGAAAGGTCCCGCTGGGGTTCTCATGCGGCGTGGCGTGTTGAACATGTCGCGGGGAACTTCGTCGTGAGGTTGGGGAGAAACCACCAATTGAATCGTGTTTCATGAAGCCATAATCCGTACTGATGATTTTAGACTTTCCATGACTTTCCATACTTTCCGTACTGATGGACATTTCATGCACTGTTGCTTTGAACGGCAGGTGCTGAAGCCCATCTTCAGCCACTTGTCGGATCCCAGAAGCGCGGTGCGCCGCCAGGCCACGGTCGAGCGGTTTTTGCGGGCGCCCCCGGAAAAGCCGAGCTTCGCCGAGAAGGGTCGACGTCCGCAGGCGGAGTTCTCCGCAATAGCCATTCTGCGGAAAGCGCAGGAGGCACAGAGGGGAGCGGAAGCAGGATGTCTTTCTTTGCTCTGATGCATCATGTCATGAAAAAAAACAGTTATTATCATGGCCCTACTTGCCCAACCCATTCGAGAGACCCTCATTGAACATCGTGAACCTGAATTCAATTTTCTGTGGGCATTGGCAGCTGCAGGACCAGCAGACCATTGAGTTTGCAGTGCAGCAATTGACACAGATGCTGCAAACGGCATCCCGGTCTGACAAGAAGGCAAGCGCAAGCCAGCAGCATTGATGTTTTGGCATGAGGTGTGTTCCAAGACGATGCGCAAATCTTGGCTGAAGCCAGATTTAACAGCATGCATGCCTTGCTCCGACTCAATGTCCGCCCTACTTGCTGACTCAAGTTCAGCGCTGAAGACCCCCGGCGTTCGTTGCTAGTGAAATAGTTACTGGGTGCTCGGGTTAACTTGTCTCAAATGGCATGAACTTGTGCCAGATGAGGTGTGCCCTTGGGGGAAAGCTTGATTGGGCTACCTTATTCCTTATTGTATGTACGTTGTTGTTGATCATGGGTTGAGAATTCGACCAAACCGCAAGGGGACACTATTGATTCTGTCTCAAGTTACTGTACTCCCAAGTGCGTCGTTGCGAACAGTTTTGTGTCTAGGAGTGTAGACGATCATTGTTTGGTCATTGTGTTTTCCAAATGGGGTAAGTTCTTACATTCGTGGGGTAAGCGGTGTGCCATGGGGGTGGGTAAAGTTCATGTGCGATGGGGTAAGTTACCACGTCGGGTAGTACGCCCACTGAAGCAACCAAAAGTTGAAGTTTTTAGCTTTGAGACGTCCATAATTTGTAGAGTTCTCCGGTTGGCGGCCCATGTTTGAACATGTTTGATCAGTTGATGCAAAGGGTGTGGGATTTTTCTCCCTCGTTCGTCCCAAGTTCTTTTCACAAATTCCCTGCCCAAAAGTGTTCATGGCTTTGATTGTCCTGATGGCTTCCCTTTGTCCAGCAACCTTTATGCTTCGTAGTCCCCTTTATGGTCTTCGCAGGCAGAGGAGATTCCTGCGCAGCGTGTTTCTATCTCAGCGATTTGGTCGATCCAATGGCTGGGATTGTCTCGACATCAACCAGGAAAGAGGTTGGAAAAGACATCAGGAACCCCAATGTCCTTGCAGTTTGCGGAAGTGAATGAAAACCAGTCATTTCGTAACAGCAAAACATCCCTGCTGGGTCGGACGTCGGAGGCGATTGCTTCTGCCCAGGCGGTGTCGCTCCTGCGTGCTGTCTCGCAGTTAATCCCCGATCAGCCCGGGCATCCCAGCATGATCCATGCGGCCGACAGCACAGATGACATGTTGCAAATCGAAGAAATCGTATTTTAGAGAATTTTAGACATATTTGACCATGAACTATCTAAATCTCTATAAAGTCTATATAAATATCTGACAAAATTTGGACCATCATTGTTTATTAGAGCGAACATGAGTGAACAACATCTTGCCTCAAACGTCCTAGGTTTCGAACACCCCCTGAATCCGTCCCACCCATCTCTTCCACGCATGGAACTTGGCACCCCCCTGACCAGGCAGCTGGGCGACATCTTTGTTGCTCTCACCAGGCCCCGGCGCTTTGGG